AACTCGTCCGGTGGGATGAATATGTACTTCGTTTGACAGGTAAAACGAAATTCATTAGAAAACTAGCTTAATAGATCAGCTTTAAACGCATGCTGAATTACTCTTCCAGTACCAGTGAGATAAACCCGTTGCCAAATGGACGGAGGACGCGATTGGATTTGTTGATAAAATCAATGCGTCCTCTGTTTTGTTGGGCATTCAATAACGGCTTCATATCACGTGGCCTCAGTTGCACTTTAAATTGAGCCATCATTTACCAAAATCTTGGGGGAAAAACGGTTAATCAGCCCAGACTATCCTTCATATTGGTTCTGTGCAACTCTTCTCTGCTGCGATCAAATACAACCATCGTCTTGCTGTGATATGATCGGTTTTCTTCCTCTCGGTTTTTGTTTTGATGAAGAACTTTCGTTGAATATGCGACAAATTGGACTTATGTTCACATCGAAGTACTTCCACAAGACACCAACTGATTCATCGGATTTATGCACCTTTGGATTAAGTTGCCCCTGGACTTCAATTATGTGCCAAAACCTTTTGAATGTTTCATCCGGTTTGTGCATGGTGACACTGCAGGACGCTTATCCAACGAGCAGCACACCTCACCGTCAAATTTTGAAGATCAACTCTTATGTTTCTTGGATCAAGTTCTCAATTCTTTCAGTATTGTGGATAATGCGTAAGTAGTGTATAGCCAAATAATTGATCAATTTATTTACGCTAGAATATTTTCAATAATTTAATTATTCACTGTGCACTGAATGAAAAGAGATAGACAGTTTAAAATAAGTGTGCACAACTTCATAAACAATCTCATGGAACAGGAATCATTTATTAAAAAGAATGAATTCTCATGTTGCTTTCCTCAAAATATTTTCTAAATCTGAGCTGTAACTTTCGAACTACTACAAATTTTATCGTAACACCCAAGGTTACGCAAATTCAAATTGCGGTAGAAGAGAACTAAGAACAAACGTGGCAGATAAAGTCAGAAATAAATACACGTTACCCATAGCCATCAATATACAAGTATTTCCCAAATGAGAGCAATATATATATATATATATTTATTTGTGTGTAGCTAACGGTTATTAAAACTTTAAACGGACAAACACAACACAGA